CCCCAGAAGAATATACCTAGGAGTTCCACATAAAAAATAGTTTTTGAAATTTCTAAAAACAATAAAAAAATGCAATCAAAAACAGGAAATTGACTAGGAAGTAAGAGAGAATTCTTCGGTAAGAAAAATATGAACGGAAATTTGAAAAGGCGTTCTGAGATATTCCTGTACCAGAGGATAAAAACTATTTCTTGGGATCAGTGACTCAGCGAGCACATGTAAATTGAAATAAACTATCTATAGTTACTTGCATTCTCGTAATATTCATTATTATTGTCAACGTTTTCTCAGGGTACTTCAATACTGCAGGATACTGGCAGATTCAGTTGCTTTATTTAATACCTAGGAGATTTTCAGCGACACCGAGGTAGTAGACTGTTTGTGCTATACCGAATAGAGGGGCTATCACGATCATACGACATGCACCGCCCTTGAAAAATGCTGTTGGGCCTTCATTTTTCAACGTCGTCCTGCAAAAAATTAATGCATTTTTCTCATGAATGAATAATTTATACTATTTTATTTTATTTTATTTCCGTCAATTCCCGAATAATGGAGTAATACCCAGAAATTTGATTTCTCTTCTTGTCTTTTGATAGAATGAATAGAATAAATGTCAGAAAATTTCATCGGTTATTTTTATGTAACTCGACAAAAATTTAATGTTGAATTCAATAAATCATTGAATTCAGTTTAAAATACATCGTCAGAATAGATTGTCAGATGTTCCATTCAGACAAATTACTAATTTATTATAAAAAATATTTTGACTGTGTCCCGACGAGAGCAATTCCCATTTGTTTTTTATAAGAATGATGAAGTGCTCACATAATGCAATCCAGAACTCCATTGTACGTAGGCTCACCAGGAGCTTTGTTAATAGCTTGTAATCTAGTCTTGATCACATCGAATGGATTGACTAACAACGCAGCAGTGGAGCCAGCCGTGCATCCAGCCAAGAATGAACACCAGAATACAGCTAGAACAATATCAAAAATATAAAAAATGTTCATTTGTTGATGATTTGATAAATAACTCGATGCTCACAAGATCCGTCTTCACGCTTTGGACCCAGGTCATTCAATCGTGCGAACAGTGGAAAGTAGATGACAGAGAAGGTGACGTCCCTGAGGGCAGTTGCACCAGTTCCCTGATAAAGTCCCATAATTCCCCTTTTTTTAAACAATTGTTGAGTTAATGACCATGCTGATATTTTTGGAACACTTTTTCCAGCTGAAATGACGAGATAAATTCGTATCGTTTACCAGTTCTTCCGGTTAAAATTGAATTGTTCTTAAAAATAAATAAATGTTCTCGTTTTAATTGAATATATTGCCTCATTACTGAATTTATTGAGCGTTATTCCGTGCGTCAATCAGAAAAAACTCTCTGTCTATTCATAAATCTGGATTCCCTCATTTTTTAAAATTTTATTTCAGTCCGATTCGTGCTCGCGTTATTTTTTTATTGAATTTTGAATTCAACTTTAACATTTTTTCCTTTAAAACTGGAAGATCCACAAGAATTCTATTAACGGATTCAGAATTAGCGGAATTGAACCCTTTTGATGTGGATAATTTCGTCTCTAGGAGAGGCGGGGTCGAAAATTTGTCGGACTGTGTTATTATTGAGATGAAATATGAAATAGTTGATGTCGATTTTGTTTTTATAGTGCTGAATAAATACACTTGAAGAGGAATTCCTTGAGTATTCGAAATGTTGTGCCATTTCCTCATATTTTGTGCGGCTATTTATTTTCCCTTGAGATTTTAATATTTGTCTCAAGCATTGGCCGGAACTAGTCATTTTAATTGAATTATTCTTAATACAACTCCCACTATCCTGAGATAATTCAACATTAAATGAGATGTAAAAATCTGAATAGCGAATGGAACTGGTTTTACCTGATTTAGCTGCAGCTGCAACACGACCAGCATCTTGCATTTGAATTTTTAACAGCTCCATGGGAGTTGTTATCACAATTTGACAAGCACCGGCTGATCCACCAGCCAGCATTTCACGTTCTAGTGGCAGTGGTTGTCTAAAAGATCCGAACCCATGGGAAATTCATTCGATAATACTTCAAATTCAGAACGAAGATATTATTCACTCCATTAAGAATCTTCTGATATTTAATGGAAGTCATTTAAGGGGAGACTACTGTGAGTTTTAAAAGTCGCGGGCTGTTGGAGTGAAGTTTCTCATGCCTTGAAGATCAATTATATATGTCTACAAATGAAATAAATAATTAATGCAGAAAATTAATTGTTCAGAGGTTTTTTTTTCAAAAATTTTGAAAAAATGTGTACAATAAAAAAAATTACGAATTATTTTTTTGAAATTCGACTCCTACACCGCTAATTTCGTTTCTTTTAATATACAAATTTGCGCTATTCATTCAAAAAAGACAGAAAAATTATCCTTAAAATATTTAAAATATATTCCACATGAGTGGTGCAATTTTTTAATTTAAAAAAAAAACAAAATTAGCAATTAGGCGATGCATTTCATGAAACTAATTCGTAGATCAAAAAATCTGAGGCGCTGGACTATTTTTAACACTTTCAGGGTCCGTGGGACAAACGAGCAATAAACAATTAATGTTTTTGCATTAATTATTCGTTTTTAGACATATATAATCGATCTTCAACGCATGAGAAATCTCTTCCAACACCTCGCGACTTTAAAAACTCATAGTAGTCTTCCCTTAATGAGTAACAAGTATTTACCCAGGTCCAGGAGATAAATAATGTCTGAACATATCATTGGCAGTCAATTTAATGGCCTTCTCTGGAGTAATCAGTAGAATATTCACACCAGACCCCTTGTACATTCCAAAGTAGCCCTCAGCCTTGTATGTTTTTTTGAAACAATCAAACCTTGCGGGAAGATTGGGAAAATTATCGACTTGTTGAGGATTATTTTTAATATTTCGATCGTTAAAGTGATGATAGATCATTGACTCACATCGAGGCATACATTCTCTCTCCTTTGGGCCCTATCACTTGATTCTGGAGCCTCGTCTTCACTAAATCCAGGGGGAAAACTACCGATACCCCGATGATCCCCGCGATTCCCCCGTTCACAATTTTTGGAACTAATTTGAATTTTTGGGGGGACGCTGCTGGCACCTCTTGCTTTGCCATTTTACTGACTATAAAAAAAGGTTGAATGCGACGTGAAATAACAGGAGTTTATATTTAGAAATGTTATTCAACAGAATTTCAAACAAAATCACGAATATTTTTGAAGGGAGAAAAATAAATTAGTACTCTTGACGATTTGGTGGATAAAGTCAGTGATTTCCATTCCCTTATCGCTTTTCACTCACGCGGATTACTGATAAATCAACTTCCGATCGACGTTATCTAAGATTTTCATCAACAATTTTATTGTACGTCGGAAATGGGTAAAAAAATTCCATGAAAATTTCGCGATTTTCCTTAGATTCAGAGATATTTCTCAAAAACAGTTTAGAGTTAATTCGACTTGAATCGTTTTACCGCTGGCGTTTTGGCATTGTCCAAAGTGCAGCCAGCAACGATCAGAATTACTAAATAAATTAACAAGAACCACCTGCTCACGGCGCGATACCGCAAAAAATTCGCAGATGCAACCGACCACAAATACATAGAAGAAATGCGTAAATATTTAAAGAATCTTAATTTCAAAAATCAAATTAACACTTATAGAAGTAGAAATGAAGTCGAAGTTGAAGAATTTTTTATACAATGACGTTCGCCAATGTAATTCGTAGATATCAATTTTTTAAATTTTTGAGAACGACGTTTTGTCTTCCCTAGGAGACGAAACGTTGGGTCATCACAGAGAATTCATCCGTTGTCATCCGATTTTCGAAACAAATACAACAGTCAAATAAACATATTCAATTGTAACTTACGAATTCAAGTTTACAAAAGTATCTAAAAAAATGTAACATATCGAGAGTGTAAATAACCCAAGAAACGAATTTTTTACATTAAATAAATAACATAAAAAAAAGAAGGGAACAAGTAAAAATTTCGACCCACGCCCGATTAAAATTCCTGTTCTCCCCTCAAATTTACATTTTCAAGAATCTGATCTGCCCCGTGAAACCCCGAATCATCAAATTCCCCTCATGTAAATATCCCCAAATAGTTTGAAACATCAACGCAACACGACAGCAGTATCAATTGTTGATGCCTGATTAACGATTCAATTAGCAACAATTACTCACTCACCCAAGTGCCAGTTAAACCACGTACAAACAAAAATTAACTCCTCGATAAACACATAAAGATAAACTATCACTCACTCTCTTCTCTCCAAATGTCCAATAAGACAGATGGAAAAGAGAGCTGTTACGCTAACGTTGCGCGTTGGTTTCAACACCACCGTCTCTCACCGGTGATAATTTTTTTTTCATCAATGTTCCATAGGACTCCCCTCCCGAATCGATTGACAGAATAAGTGGTTTCGGGTGAATGAGAGACAAGTGGATGCCTACTTGTACAACATGAGCTTCATCAATGCCGTCAATCGGTTTTGATGGAGAAGATTATTGAGCAGCTGGTGGATGACCTCGGGATATTAATGTGGCACGGTCCAAGGTGGTTAAATAATTGAGTGACAAGGGGAGGGGGGAATTGACGTTATTGGGTGAAGGATTAATTTTTTGCCAATTTTCTGAGTTGATAAGGATGGTTTCTGCAATGCTTGGATGAGATAAAGACGCGAACGCAAGTGCGTGGTTTGAGATTTCTTCCAGACGGACATGTACCTAGTAGGGTAATAATAATAATAATAATAATAATAATAATAATAATAATATCACTCCTGTTTGAGTTACGTCAAATAAACAGAGGATTTAAAGTAAAGTTGGTTGTCCTTATCATTGGCCCTCTTGGGGGAATGAAGGAGTCATTCATATCTGCGCTCAAAACCATTCCGGCCTGTAGGCGTCAAGCCTTCAGTTTAGCTGGCCAGATGCACAAGGCAGTCATCCTCGGGTCCCTCCGTCTACTTAGGCAGCATGATTCTGGATTGTAATAGAGCTCACCCTCTGGTTAGAGGGAGCACTATTGCAGAGCGATAAGGAAGTGTTTGCATCGCTTTGCTTGCTGGGCGGTCTTCGAGGTGAAGTCGGAACCCTAGAGGATCGTTCAGCGATCTCATTTACGAGTAAAAAAAAAAAAAAATAATAATGTTCAACCATTTGGGAAGGATTTGGGATAGTTTAAGAATTTAATTTGATTGTTTAGGAACTAATAGTTTATTTATGATTTAATAGTTTTTATGTGGTGTGTAGTTAGCAGGTTGGTATCATGAGATGTTGATCGAGCCAGCCTGAATCGATTCAAAATCATTTGGGAAGACGAAAAAATATCGGTTTGGAGTTTGGGAATTAATATTTATTTTTTAATGATTTTTTTTTAATTTTGGGTTGAGCGGCCTGTGCATTAGGGATGGGCGATATTTTGAAGAACATCGACTATCAAAAAATCGATGTTTTTTAAAAAAATCGATGTGAATCGATTTTTCCGGAATATAGATCGATTATTCAAAGAATCGATGCTTTCTGACGACTGGATTTGTTTATAATGTACATTTATCATGTACATGGTGTAGAAAATAATTAGTTATAATTGCGGATAAATTATAAATTTTTTTATTCTCGATCAATCGAAATTATTAGTCGATCAAAAATTTTGTTAGCTTGGTCAAAAACATCGATATTTTGGAAGAAAATCGAAGATCGGTTAATCGGCTGTTGAAAATATCGAATGAAAAACATCGATGTTGGGCATGATAGATCGATGGTTTCGACTAATCGACAAACATCGCCCTCCCTAGCGCGCCTATGTGAACTCGCTAGGTTGTGCGTTGAGCGATCCTTCCTCCCGCCATCGCATAGGCATTAAATTTCATGATCGATATTGCACTAATAAATATCCACTGCAGCCGGTATAGACAACGATTTCAATAATAAAATGATTCTAGACAATAAACTGGACACATCGAATCAATTGATGAGTGATATGGAGACAGGCTATTAAATAATTTTCTAAAAATATTAATTCATTGAATACGAATAGCAGTCAAGTGGACGCGAGAGTAATTGTGCTTACGCGATCCCAAAAATGATGTTCATGTGCCGCACAAATTTTTAAATTAAAAATGATGGCCACAAATGAATTGTAAGAAAATTAGCGTCAAACTATGATGCATAATGAGGGGCATAATTAATTTTTAATTTGTGACGGTCGTAAACTTGAAAAATTGTTTGAGGCATAAAATGTTCAAGATTTTAATTTCATTACGCGTAATTAGGCTGATACAAAACGAATTCAAATAAAAATGATGTCAATTATTTTTTTATTTAATTTGAGAATATACCGAGAATGGGGAATCCCCTCGGACAATCACCCATTGCGTAATTATACATCAAAGAAGTATTCACCCACAATATTCTGTGCAGAATTCCATTGGTCTCGCTCCGCTTATCCGATCACGTGTAGATATCCATTATTTTCTACCATCAACTCAGCGAGTAAATATCCTTAAATATAACTCAGCTTTCATTCCCGTCTCATGATCGATCCACATTCGATCCCATTCCAACGATCCGATAAAAAAAAAACAGTAGAAGAAGATGGTAACAGTTTTTTTTACAATCTGACATGTCTACCATACTTGTAAGTACGATTGAGTTTTCTCACAGGTCATTATCAAGTGAATCATCTCGTTACGGCAATTCCATAGTGAGTGTCTTGTTTTTTTACCGTTTTGTTTTGGAGGCCCAGACACGTGGGGTTGTGTGATAAATATTTATTGATTCATTGAGGGAAGGCTACGGTATTTTCTCAAGTCATACCTTACCGATAAATTTCCAGCTTATCCTTAAAAAAATATACAATAGATTAGGTTAAACAGATCGGTAAAAATGACTTGAATCAGCGGTTTGTGATGTGGCTCGATCATGAGACGGGAATGAAAGCTGAGTTATATTTAAGGATCTTTACTCGCTGAGTCGATGGTCCATGAGTGATGACGATGTTATCAATGTGGACATCACTGATACTTCAGTTTCCCATTTTCTCGGTTGTTCCATTGTTTCATCTGTTATCAATTATTTTAGTACAGCAGGTGGAAATGGAAGGAAGATCCCTGATACAATCCGTAATGACCGGGAGACGTCATTATTTTTTCCTGATACCGTCAAATTTCATTGTTATATTCTTCAGTTCTTCACTGATATAATGAAGAAACAATCTACTGTTCTTTTTTCTTCCCGGGAAGCTACAGAAACGTTATTCCGTCGGATTGTCTACTTTTGGGTTGAAAGTCGTCAAAATGTAATAAAACATTAATGATGAATGATGGTCTCAGGAAATTTCTGGGCGTGTGTGCGTGTGTTTACTTGAAACTGTGTCAGTAAGAAAAACTGGAGGAGGATCATCGAAAAAACCGAAAATTCGGCCTCAATTTTTATTTGATTACTCAATTTTATAGAAATAGGAAACGGCGCGCTTGGCGCCCGCTGATGGGCTAGTGATTTATACATATTATTTTTGATTATGTACTCATTTATTCATTAAAAAGGAGTTCATGTCCGCTGTTATTATGTTTAGAGTTGACAAAAAATGTGAAAGATGATCTTCAAAAATTTTCACGACTCACATTTTTTTTAACACGTTATTCGTTCATATTTTCACTATTTCCGCATATAAATTTATTGTCCATAACAATTCCATACGCATTTTTGTAACACCTGAACGTTCAACTTTTTTTGAGATTTGAATATGCAAATTTTGCAACTTTAGTTTCTCCGTTAATGAGATCAGCAATATTTTTTGTTTTTGTAATTCATTGACGAAACGTTATAATGTTTAATGTCAAATAATGTTTATCCTCATTCTTCGGTACACTGGCTTAACGAGATGAGGGGGTATTGTTGATATCGAAATCATTTACTCGGAAACCGCAGAGGGAGGAAGGTCTCTAGTACCCACTCAGCACGTTTCTCCAGCGAGGAATTTCATTTTTCCTGTAGTTACTTTGTTCCGTAGTAAGGGAATTTCCTTTCTTTGAGAATACACACTCTGTAATCGAATGAACGATATCGTTACAATAGGAGGTTCATTATAATAGAAGAACCATTTAGGATTTTTCTCGAGTGAGGAAAACAACTTTCATTGAAAGCGGATTTTTATAATGACGAATAAAACTTTCAAACTCGCACGCGTGATAAAACTATGAGAGAACTAGAAATTTTCTTTTTCATTGGTTAAATGAAAATTTCTACGGTGAATTCGTAACCGATAGAAATTTAACAAGGATTTGCTTTTTGTATTCTATTCTTTCATCATTTTTGCCGGTTGAAAGTGTCGTTTAATTTTTTACCTCAGACTTCACTGTTATCCTTTTTCCTCTGATGGCAATTATCATTCTATCAGCGATCGCCAGACCGCGACGAAATCCGGAGCGAACAAGAGAGAAATCCTCTCTGAATTTATCACATACCGCCGATTTTTTTTCTTAGATTTCTGGAACTTCCTAAAGCACGTTAGAAAGTCCCGTTCAATTCATAGCTGAGGTGTACTCCGACGTTTTATTTCCTTCGCGGACGGAAAAAATGGCATTGGAATTCTTTGAGCACTTTCTCCGCAATGAAAAAGATAAACAAGAAATGGATCTGATGTGAGGCGTCAAGGTCTCCGGGAGAACCTTGCCTCTCTATTTCTCTTTTCTCCCCATTGTCCGATAATGTCTTCAAGTCTATCATATCGAATGCAGGTGCAGACAGGGTTTAGAGTATTAAAATCCAGCATCATTGCATAATAATGTTTCTTCCATGGAGTAATTAATTCCTCAGTTTTTCCCAATTCCTCATTTTCATGTCAGTCAAGTTCTGTAAATTATGTTTTGTAGCTATTACAGAATATATAATATAAATCAGTAGCGAAGTGGTAAAACGGTTCAAGTCAACTTATCTCCCAGTTGAGTTTTTGAGAGATATCTCCGAATCTAAGGCAGACAGCGAAATTTTCGTAATTACATTTGTTGTAGCTCTCAATTGGCTCTACAGAAAAGTTTCTAATAAAAATTTTGCTATCTCCATTAGATTCCGAGATATTCTCTGAAAACTGGCCAATAGTCGAAATTGACGTAAACCGTTTTACCACTTCGCTAGTGAAATTAATTGTTTAGTTTGTGATAGGAAAGTTTTGAAGATTAGGTTTTAATTCACCCCCTAAGGTGAATTTTAATATCCCCACTCTACGCTCGTCAAAGCGGAATGCCAGCGTTCCCACTCGAGCGTCCTACTACGCTTTACTACGCTTTTCACCTTAAAAGGTTCATTTTCTGTGTGAGAGAGATTGAGTGATTTAGGGATTTGGATAAATTGGGGGAAATGCTCTTTGGGAATTTTTCATGTCTAGACAGAGGCATAGTGGGGATACAGTCACCACAAGCTTAATATATAATATATAATATAT